GCTGCGGTTAGACAGGTAGGAAGCAATGAAATCGAGGAGGGGAGGCCTGATGATACGCTCGATCGCCTCTGACACGTGATCTGAATCATCCGCGAGGGGAAAACGCATTAGCAGGTTTTTCCCTTTTTCGCAGTATTACTTTCTGTCTAGTTGCGGTCAATATCAATGAACGAACAACACTGTGAAGTGGACTATAGCCTTCACAAGAGCGGCCAAACATTTCCACCTAAAAGACAGACTAAGATGACGATGATGATCATGATGATGATGACGATGGTGATGATGATGATTATTATTATTATCACGATGATGATGATGATTACGATGGTGATGATGATGATGATTACGAGGATGATGATGATGATGATGATGATGATGATGATGATGATCAAGAGGAGAAAGAAGAAGTTATGAACCTTATTTCCTGAGATGTAGTTGCCCGAAACGGCTGAAGTCCACTTGACGGGGTCCTTCGTGCATTGATTGCAAATGCATATGAAAAACTTTGTTAAAATGGACAGCCTGTTTCCTAGTGCGGCGCTATCCGCTCATAGTCTTCCGCGAACCAAAAACTGAGGAGTGTCCCGTTAGCGAGCGAACGTAAATGCTGAAGGCGCGGATATGGATGAAGTGCTTTGTGTGATCATTTGCGCATACATGTAGCAGCTGATATCAGAAACACACGCAAGGTAAGGATAGTGTATAAGTAGCAACATAAATAAATAAATACTTTTTTGATATAAGCCCGGAGTGCCTCGTCATTGGAATAATATAACTAACAGAGTCCTCCTTTACCGGAACTATGGTGATGAAGAATATGCCTGTTTTGTAAACAGTGATAACAGGTAAAATTAATTATTAAGTTAAATAGGAACCAGTCGTTGCAATCATTGAAATATAGTCTACATTTCTACACAGATACAACATAAACGTTGTATTATTTAAGTAGTTTTTTATGATCTGAGACCTCTATTTTCTGCTGGAATATGTGGTTCTATGCTATCTTAATAGGCAAAAGGCATAAGTCGCATTCTTGTAGCCTCCACAAACTGAAAAGTGTCCTTTGACTGACCTATATCATCAAACCTTGGTAGACCACATTGAATTTGTCGACCGTTAGGACAAGAAAGATGCCCTTCTCGTGTGTATCATCTATTTCTCCTAACGTACCTGCTAAAGAAACCATTAGCTGTCTCTGTGACGTTATTCGGGACATGAACTAAAATACACCTATGCCCACGAGCAAACTTTTATCTTATCTACGGTACTATTTAGTGGTTAATGGTGGTGCTGCACTACTTGAAACTGACGGAATACTATAAGCGATGCGATCATTCCCGGAAATCAATCGAACAACATAGTACACATTTACCAGTCTGATCATCTTATCTTAAATGACGTGATTGTTTCAATGCATTAAAAACTGATTTTTTGGGGAAAGTGTGCCGTTTTGGTTTGCAAAGGGCTGCCTGGTCGTCGTTGTTCGTATCTCTTTTGGTAAGTGTTGCGTCATCGTCAGTACATACGTGGCCGCAGGCATTATACACTGCTTGCGCATATTTATATACATAAGCGATGTAACAAGCATATACTGTTGCTATTTTACATTTTGGCTCAATTATGTAAATCGCAGTTGGTTCAAATTTTGAGACAAAATGGAAGATTTCTATAAATCGATCTATTCAAGAGAAGAAACGACTTTTAGTCT